GGAAGAAGCCGGCCCTTATTTATGACCTAATTCCGCTTGCCGATTTACGGCTTTTAACTATGTGAGTGTATTTTTAATATTTTTAATAAACTTATTGTATTCACACTTCACTATTTGGGGCCTTGGTGTTTATTTTCCTGTGAGTGAGTATAGCATAGGACTGGAGCCAGATGGAGATGGGGATTTGAGAAAGTATATGGGGGCTGCAGTGCGGGCAGAGCTGGAGGAATACTATAACCAATGCTGGTAGCTAAGAATTGTCAGCGCTATTCTGACTATTAAGGAGAACTATGAGGGGGGTGCTTTTCACTCACCTCATAGTTCTAGCCGACCTGTGACAATGAGACTGTCACAGGTCGGCTCAGTAGATCGGGAGGTGAGGGAACACATACCGGCGTTCGCTCACTTCTTGATCCTGTCACGTCACAGAGCCGTGACAGGGGAGGGGCTGGATTCTCCCCTCTCCGCTCCGATCCTCCAGCGCTGACTGGCGGAACGGACGGGGTAAGGGGCGGGTACAGCTGGATCTGCCTCTAGATAGGCAGAGCCAGGTGTCAGTCACGCAGCTGGGCGGATCCAGGCATAATTGTCGGGATCAGTTTCAGCTGCGGCGTCTCAGTATACCGCGAGCTGTAGCTCCCTATACACTGAGCTTAGGGTGACGGGAGGATGCTAGAACCCCATAGTTCTCCTTTAACTTTCGTGCTCGATCTCTTCTGATGAGTTAGCCCAACCTTATTCCTGGCACAAAGGATTACGGATGTTTTTGGTGGAAGACACAAAGTTTATTTATTTGTATTCTTGGCACAAAGGAAAATTATTGTTTTTTTTGGGGGGGCGAAAGGCAAATAGTTGGACAATGTTTACACCAGGGCTCAAAATTTCAAGTCCTGAGCTACTAGCCAGGCCTTAAAAGTTACTCGCCCCCCCTAACCCCTACCCTGCCCCGGACTTAACTCCGCCAGGTCAGTGGTGTGACATAGAGTACAGAGATCAGTAACAACGCGGAGTCCAGAGGCCAGCGGTGTGATGCACAGTACTAAGGTCAGCAGTACAGAGTTCAGTAATGTAACTCGGAGTGCAGAGGTCAGCAGCGTTAAGCTGGCCATACACCTTACAACCATTGCACGACTTTCGTTGTGCGATGGTTGTAAGGTAATTAAAATTTTGTACGATCTGCCCATCTTGCACAGGCAGATCGTACTTGTGATCATTGCAAGTCCTCCCCACCGAGGGGAGGGCTTGCTGATGATTGTAATGCTGAGCGGGCAGTGTGCGCTGGCACACACCAGCCCGTGCTGCTTTCATCTTCTGAGCATGCCACCAACCCGCCGAAAATCGTACGATTTTTGGCAGGTTTTCCAGCTAGCTTGGAAGACGAATGTCGTGCGACCGTACAGTAGATGCGGCCACACGCTGCCCTTACACCTGCCGATTATCGTACTTTGCGGGATCACCCGCGATTATCGTACGATAATCGTCAGGTGCATGGGCACCTTTACAAAGAAAAAACAGGGACTTACAGTGCACAGTTGATCTGATTCAGGTGCTCTCTTCCTCTCCTGGTAGGGGTGTTGGGGGGAGGGTCATCAATGCTGCCTCTATGTAACAAGGTGAAGCCTCCAGCAGCGTAGTTGAGCCTCCTTTCAGGTCCCACACTGCAGAAATGTACAGAGGTCAGCAGGATGACGCACAGCACAGAGTTCAGTAATGTAATGCACAGTCCAGAGGTCAGCGGTACAGAGGTCAGTAATGTAACGCACAGTACAGAGGTCAGTAATAAAGCACAGTTCAAAAGTCAGCAGTGTAAGGCAGAAATAATGCACGGTACAGAAGTCGGCAATATCGCACAGTGGAGAGGTCAGCGGTGTAAGGCAGAACTAACGCACAGCGCAGCGATCACCAAGAACGCACAGCGCAGCGGTTAGCGAGAACACACAGTGCATCGGTCAGCGAGAGCGCACGGCGCATAGGTCAGCGAGAGCGCACGGCGCAGCGGTCAGCGAGAGCGCACGGCGCAGCGGTCAGCGAGAGCGCACGGCGCAGCGGTCAGCGAGAGCGCACGGCGCAGCGGTCAGCGAGAATGCACGGCGCAGCGGTCAGCGAGAACGGGGGGGAGGGGTACAGCAATCTGACCTGTCCGACGTGAAGCCTCCCTTCAGGTCCCGCACTGTCCTGCCATCCAGCCAATCACAGCTCTGCAGATGACGGACAGCCAGCTGAGCTTAACTTTCTCCCGTCTCTTCTCCTCTTCAGCCGCTGCAGCTATACAGTAGAGCGGCCGCAGAGGAGAAGAGAAGGGGAGAGCTGACTGGGTGATCGCCGCTGCTGAAGCGGCGGCAGATTCTTTCTCATACTGCCGGCGGCGTCCTGCGGCGCCCCCCTCCCCCCGATGAATTTCCACTCGCCCCCACGCAATTTTCACTCGCCAATTGCGAGGGGGCGAGTGGAAATTTTGAGCCCTGGCTTACACTATTATCACTTTTTATTAACATTGTACTTATACTTATGTTACACTTACACTATTGAGAGTGTCTATTCTCCCTATATTGTTTTTGCACACATGTATATAAGCTTGTGAGTTGCTTTGTGAGTAGTACACATTTTTTGATACAATTTGTCACTCTGGTTGTCTTTATTGATGGAGTGTTAATAATTTATGTACACCAGTAAAAACACAGTGTAGTTATTTGATCTACATATGTAGTACCCCCCTGACTCCCGAAGGCCTGAGGTGGATCCCCCAAAGGGCAGGAAGGGCTGATATTTCACTCTCAAGGGATGGATTCTTAGCTGGGTTGTGGGATGTGATCAGTAAATTGGATGCAATTCACTATAAGTACCTTTTTAAATGCTTTATTGTAGAAACTGGGAGTGTCCCGATCTCGATCAGGCTCGGAGTCCAGTAGCTGAAACAGCAGGCAAAGTTGTAGTCAAACAGGCCAAGTTCAGTACACAAGCAGAGGGTAGTAGTATAGGAGCAGGCGGAAGCATAGTCAGAGATCAAGCCGAGGTCAGTAACCAAAGGTATCAGGTATGAAGTGGAAGACGATGAGAGTAGTCGGTGAATCAGCAGCCAAAGGTCGGTACACGGGTAGCACTATGAGCAGATTGTATCACATGAGGAGCAAGGAAGCAAGATAATAGCAGGAGCACAATAATCTGGCAAACAGGAAGTGCAGAGGCATGGCTTAAATAGGAAGTTCCCAGGAGGAGCAAGGAGTTCAAAGTTCAGCAGAAACTAGGTTTAACTGAGGATTTCATAGGAGATCAGGCAAGGAGCTATCCATGGTTCTACAGCGGCTCAGCAGGTAGAACCACTGCCAGCTACAGCAGGGTCCCTGGGTTCAGATTTGGTTCCTGACAGGGAGTGAGGGGATAAGGCTTCAGACATCCATAGCAAAAATAGACTCCCGACTCACCGATCCCTTTAGGCTTCCACAGTGCAGAAAATACCTAAGTAGAACAGGAACAGACACTATGCAGTAGAACAGCTGAATAGGGATGTGCATGAGATCATCCCTGGGAGAGACACCAGACTTAGTCCTGAGGTCCTTAATATCTCTTGGCACCTGCAGCAGTTCTCCTCCCCAGAAAGATCCAGACCCCACATGTGGCCTTCTCCATGCTTGAGGCCTAGTCAGCTTCTCCAACCTTGTACATCTCACCCCCAGACTAGGCCCAGGGTGGACTGCCCAGAACACATGTCGTTTCCTGAGTGCTTATGCCCTCCCCCAGCATGCACCACTGGCCATGAAACACCTATTGATTAGCTTGTGAGGCATAGGGACTCCTAATGCTCCCTTATTGGATGCCCCACTCTGTGGCAGGTTCACACCCCACTGACAGGTAGGTGCAATCAATAGCAGAACACCTAGAATTTACCAGATGATGCCAGACTACAAATCAGCCAGATTGATTACAGTGCTAGCAATGCTAAACTTTAGTAGCCACTCCACTTAGGGTGGTAGGGCTACACATATAACACATGTGCCTTGATAAATGCATAGCACCCTGTTTGACTTCTGTTTGAGCTCTGGCTGTCCAGCAATCGACATTGGAAAACTGATGGCTATTACCATGTGACACCAAGCCACTCATGGTGTCGTTCAGCCCACTTCATGCTATCTACTGTGCATCCTGTATGACTATAGATTCTGATTTGAAACTGCTTGAACATGTTTTCTCTGTGCCCTATGCCATTGAAGACATGGATAACATGAGGTGGCCTAATGATGATTGCTGGACAACCAGAGCATGGACAGAAGTCAAACATGGTGCTACTTGTTTATCAGGGAACACGTGTTATATGGCCGTTTAATGTTTATTGAGGCGTGTACTTCAACTAGGGTCACATGTATCACTTTGTTTTGACTGATGAAGGAACCGGATGCATTCTGAAACGTTGCTACACTTGGTGATGTAACTGTACACATGGAATAAAAGGAACTTTGCTTGGAGAACCTTTGGAGTGCTGGTGACTTACTGTTGTGTTTATCTGGTCGAGCGGCGCCATCCGCTGTCATTTCAGCACCCCCCATTGGAAATTGGGGCATTTTCGGTCAGGAGTGCGGTGGGATCCCTTACGTGACTATGTTATTAAAGACACAGATAACATGAGGTGGCCTAATGATCATTGCTGGATAACCAGAGCATGGACAGAAGTCAAACATGGTGCTATTCATTTATCAAGGAACACGTGTTATATGGCTGTTTAAATGTTCATTGAGGCGTGTACTTCAACTAGGGTAAACTTCCACTTTAACCTTTGTTCCCCCATTACAGGACACAGGAATTGTCAATTTTTCCCCAAAAAACAGTGCACCGAAGAAGAAAACACAGTCAAAGGCAAATAGTCATATCATGTATTTATTACTACATTTTACATTCTACTTCCAGTCTACTATATAACTTTCATGGCACTGATGAGTAGAGCTAGTGGTCCAACAGATTTGTTTAGGGTCAAGCCAACCAAACGGTGATTGGAACTCATAAAGAGGTATTTGGTGGCTTTACCCGCTCACTTCTGTTTTGGGAAAACAACAAAGTTACATAATTTCACCATTGCTGCACCCGCATGTTCCTGGGCAATTTTGTTTTACAGAATCAGCATAGCACATTTGTTTGTAGTCCTTGCAGTTGCTGGCCTCCAGGTTATAGTAACATGGATTAGCTGCAATGAAAATAATTAAATGGATGAATAAGAAAATACATATTTTACCGTATGCCTTAGCTAGTCATAATCCTTAAGGGGACTCTGCCAGATCTTTTAGTAATTTCCAATAACAACCCCTGTACTTACCACTTATACTCACCTTTTAGTAAGCCCATTTCTCCTACCTTCCCTCCGTTAAAAGGCTGCAGCCCATGTAAGACTATTCAACACTTTTTTGATTGGCAGATGTTTGTGCCCCTGCCTACACACTGTAATTCCATCTTCTAACCCCTATGCCACTGCTCTATCCTGTAGTGATGTAGGGGTCTGAGGAAGGAACCATAGAAAGTGGAGTAGGACACCGACATCTGACACTCCTGGAAGTGTCGAACGCCGGCGAGTCTACAGCACTGCAATGGAGGAGAGATATGAGACATGGGCCGCCACAGAGGTGACTGTACCTCTTCTCTTACCGGGACCTACACAGACTTACCATGGGAAATTATTAAAAGACCTCACAAGGTTGCTTCAATGCCAACAACATCTTATGGACATTGATATCTTCTCAACACCTTGTAAACACCTTGTACATGTCTCATAGTTATAACACTCTTAGTTTCTTCTGCCAATGTTTATTTTTTCCAAGTCAAATTTAGTAGAAGTTTTTATTTAGGATATTATCATGTATTGCCTAACCAAATCGATTCTAGTGCAAGCCTCTAAGGCACACTGGCCTCTTGTACCTGAAGAAGAGGCCAGAATGCCTGGAAAGCTTCTACTACAATCTATTTAGTTAGCCAATAAATAGTATCACCCTAAATCCAAACGTCTGCATTGTCAATCTTCTGCTGAAGTACATTTAAATTGACTCTGTTGCTAAAAATTAAAGATGTGAAAAACTCACCCCTCCAGCTTTCCATCCCATCGTCCTCTGCAGTAGTGAATAGTACTGCTGCCTGAAGATTCTGCAGAATACAACACTTCTGGGGGTGTAGATTTCCTGCTGCTCCCATTGTGCCCTATGATTCAGTCTACAGCTCTCTACAGGATACAGTAGTGATGGAGGGGCTGGCGGATTCAACCACTGATTGCCACTGGAGACCAGGAATACAACGCTCCCGGAAGCATCAAATTCTATAGGATCTTCAGTCAGCATTTTTGCAGAGAATAGAAGTATGAATAATAGGTGAGGGGAGCATTCCATGTCATCTCTGAAGGAAGTCCTTTTTTGTACATTGATTTAAATCTAAACACCAGGAACTTTTTGTTTTTTAATTTTGAACAGATCTGACTAGAAAGGGATAAAACCATTTGTATGTCCACATTAGGGAGATTTCTTCCCCACTTCTTGTCAGGATATTGTGATATATATTTGTTATACTACACACATTAGCTCATGGCAAATAATAATTGCAAGGGAATAAGAGGCCATTGTCAAGACCAAGTGCACATTGTGTTGACTGTATAACAGTCAACACAGTGTGCACTTGGTCTTGACAATGGCCTCTTATTCCCTTGCAATTATTATTTGCCATAAGCTAATGCGTATAACAAATATACATGACAAAATCAGTCTGAAGTTCTGAAGGACGGGGACAGTGGTCACATGAGTCACAGGTGCCTAGTGATATCACCACTCTAAGCTTGTCTTGG